GATAGTATGCAAAGTTGTTTTTTTGTCTTTAATTCTTAAACAGATCCACCAGAATTCAACAACGTAAGTAGCGATGTAGTGGTTGTGGAAGGTGACCCCAATATTACTTTACAGTGTATTGCAGACGGTGAACCAACACCAAACATCACCTGGACCAAAATATATGCTAACGGCAGTGACAGTGGTGTACTGGCAACTGGGAATCAGTTTTTCCTTGAAACCAACAGAAATAACAGTGGAACATATCGCTGTACAGCATTTAATGGAATAGGAACTGTACCAAATGGCACAGTGAAAGTAGAAGTTAATTGTAAGTAGATAATTGTATATTGTACCTATAAATGGTTTTTTTTCGTACAATCTAGGATTGATTGCCAAAGTAGGTAAAAATATTGCAAAATAAAACTCCAAAATGAAAAAAAGTATAAATCAGCCACAAAAAAAAAGATATGTGAAGATTTTCTCTTTCTATGAGTGGTATAGTCATGTGGGAACTTTCATTAAAATACGTTGTGATGATGGAAGCCGGGCCCGAAAAAGCCATGCTGTCCAGCATAGGGTTTTGTGAGATACAGGGAGAATAGATGATATAAAAAAAAGCTGCAAGTCAGAACAAAAAACAAAAAGAAAAAAGAAAGGAAAGGAGAAGCAATCAGTCGCCTATGGCATTGTAGTGGACTAAAAAATATTTGGCTCTTGCGACATGATGGACATCATGACATGCTCTGATACCGATGCATGATCAAATATTGTTGTTTTCTTTCTTTAGTTAAACCAGAGAATGTCAAGTTAATGGTGAATGAATCGGTTGTATGTAAAAGTGACGTTGTCATTACCACCTGCCTAGCAAATGGCAAACCTGCAGTGCATATTTATCAACTGTTTGAGAGTGAAGTACCAGTCAATGATGGAAACAGCTCAGCTGGGGTATGGATAAGGAAAGATTTGAAAGGAGGAGACCTTAGCTACAGATGCGTGGCTAATAACACTGTTGGAACAGCTGAGAAGACTTTAAATGTTACAGTAAAAGGTACAGTGTAAGAAAG